TTCCTCATATGCTTTGCTAGCTGCGTATAAGTGGCGGGACGCAACACAACAAGAGGTGAGAATAAATTCGGGTGGGGCGTTTTCGGTCGGTGTATGCTGCCGTTAGTTTTGGCGCGACCCAACAACCGCGAAAACGTTCGTACCTATGGTGGAACCTCCAGACTCAGATAGGGAAGAACCCCTCCGAGCGAAGCGACGAACATGGGTGGCCTTTTTGAAAGATTTTAACAGGGACTTTATGAAACGGCCGATCCATCCTCAGTTCTCTCGATTCATCTCCTAACTCTCTTCATTCCGCTCCCTCTTTGCGTCCTAATGGGATACCCATATCTGATCTCATAATTCCTGATAAGCCGATGATTAAACCTATCCTGCTCCTCCTCTTATCGATGCTTATTAATGTCCTGAACCTTCCTGAACCTTCCTGAACCACCATGAACGAAAGAATGAACTCGAGGGGACGAGGAAGATAGACTAGGAGGAAGCTGAAAGGGCCTAGTGGTTCGCATGATGTTACAGAGGATGAACTTGATACGTACTTGGAACGTGGATGGATAATACATTGGTAGACGTACACCAAATGAATTTTTTCTTTTTCGAGAGCCACATTCTTGCTTGGGTAATCATATACGGACAGTGGATGTTGAGGTCTCGGAAAATTGTTCTATAATCGTGAAGAGTAGGTATCGTTCTCCCTTGACTTGAAAGCCTAACCCCACGAAGGCTTGAAGCTATTCTACGAATCATGTTCGAAGTGGGAGCCTAGTCTTCAACTTCAAGTCGTCGCAGATCCCATAGTGAAAAGCAGCCGCCCTATGCGGTATCTACGCGGCGGAACTATGCAACGGTGTCGGCACACAGATAATGTTCAGATACAAAATTGAGCTTTTAATGGGGCAGCTTGAATCGCAGAACCGACGACATCTACTAATGCGTACACTGATTGATTAGGATGTGTATGCTGCTCCATGTATAATTTCGAATACTTGATTAGTACGGATGTGCTCATTTCCTAAGTCAGGTGCATGAGGTTACACTCCGAAAAATGCTTGATAGAAACATACTTGCTGTGGGTTGCTGAACGTTTGGCCATTTCGCTGACCATTCCATCCTTCGGTTTCTCGAATTTCTCGTACGCGACCTTGGCAAATCCACTAGACACGACATCGTCTCCTCTTTGTAGCCCTTCAATCGCTTCCTTCGTATAGGCATCAATCGGTACCCAGAACTTTGATAGTGCGTCGGTCGTACCCTCGACTAGACAGTAGCATTTTCAGTAAGTATGCTGAAAATGGTTATATACTTGATCTTTACATACCGTCATGCAGTTCAGATTCCACCAATGGGGGACTGATTTTCGATAACGCCTATGTTTGTGTCTTCTAGCTGCACCCGAAGGGCAATGCAAAGCGAATGCACAGCAGCTTTGGATGCGGAGTAGTTGACGACCCACGGCGCGGGGATGTAAGCGAGTCCAGAAGTGACCGGTGCTATGATGCAAGGTTGTCCAGCGGCCTGGGAAGGAACTCGGGTCAACCACCTTGGTATTAGTACTACATATAGTATATGCACTGCGTACTGCTTTGGATAGAAAATGAGGCATAAAGAAAGTAATCATTGCCACAACAGACATGTAGTTGATGTTGAGTTCAGTGGCGATAGCTGATTACTAGGTGATTATCTCAAAAGAATAAAGCGACAAAATAATACTTACAATCAAGATTAACCTCCTTCTTAAAGTGCACTTCGCGCTGGATTCCAGCAGCAAGGAGAATCATGTCGATCTAGTAGTGACATACAATTGAAAGTATCAGAAAAAGGCCAACAAAGACTTGCGGAAGCTTGCGAACCTCGGGATACTTCTTGATCATTTCGTCTACGAAACCCTTCATACTTGCTCTATCTGTATTAACATCAAACTCTTCTGCTTCGATCCCCGCCTCCTTTAGTTCCCTCAAGCGGTCCTTGCGTCTCCCTACGCCAATGACCGTCGGATGACTGGGAAGAGCGGCGATTGCCAAAGCCAATGCCCGGCCGATTCCAGAAGTCGCCCCGGTGACCAGAACACATTTTGCATTGTTGATAGAAGGGGCCATATTGTAGAGTGTGGAAGTGTGGTTTCACAAGAGTCTTTATTTATATCCTCTGACACGGAACGACGTCGGAGCAGTATCTAGGTATTGAAATAATTTCTCTCGTACCTGAAGGCCTGACGCACACACCATTTATGTGCGTACTCACACTCCAAAGAATTCTCGAATCGCTGGTTCCGAGAAACCCAAGGAATATGAAAAGCCGTCTGGCGCAGAAGATATTGCCTCCTTAGCTCAGTTGGTAGAGCGCGTCACTCGTATTAATCAGAATATTGGTTGAAATGTATGACGAGGTCAGTCGTTCGACTCGGCTAGTGGGCATATATTTGTAATTGTATTTGCACAGGGTGTTTTTTTTGTAGACTAAGATGATCGCCGAGATAGCGACGAGATGAAACACGTGACTCCAGAGGACTTTAACAGACTCTTGAATTGACACTGGATAGACGCTCGTACAGCTGTCTTATCTACACGTCCACAACGGTCACGTTCACCCCCGACTTACTTTGACCGGTTACCCATCTACTACCAGTGCCACTACCAATGGAGCAATCTTTCAGAGCTTCTTTCGACGATAGTCAACTTGAGATGAAGTACTCCGAGGAGATGCTTTCCCTCATGTCTAGTATACATTCCATAATGCAGGCGCGCGAAGAGCGCGAGGCAACCATACTGCAATCCAGTTCAGATCCAGCACATCCAGCTCCCGTGCCTCTGCTGGTAAACGGTGTATCCGTACCCTCCTCGCCCCATATCCAAGATGTAGAACCTATATCTACACAAGCTAGTGCTCACTCTGCTCGGGCATCCAATGCTCCAAATAATCTCCCCGTCCCTGTCACTGGATCAGGCACCAAAAACACACCTTTCAAGGTTCGTCGGTTTGGGTTGAAAAAGGATCAAGCAGCACGAAATCCTTTAGAAGGTATGTGAATAATTTTCGCGTGTTTGATTTCAAGTTTTGATGTTGCTGATTATCGAACGATAGCAAGCTACGATTATACGCTCAAATACCCAGAGGATAAACGTTATCATGAGCTGGACCCGGAAGCTCGCATCTGGAGGGTTTATGGAGATGAAGCGGCTGCTTTCGACAATGATATGGTCGGGGAATTGAGCGACAGCTTGGATATCTTGCTGGTCTTTGTACATTCCAAGTTGGACCATTTTGAATCGGAGTTACTGATGCTTTACAGGCCGGTCTTTTCTCTGCCGTCCTCACGACATTCGTAGCACAGACATCACAGTCACTATCTCAAGACTATACTCAGCTCTCAGCGTCGTATCTCAGCGAATTGACCCTGCTTGTCCGCGCAAATGCAAACAGTACTGCCATTTCGAACATTCCTTCTACCAGTACCGCGTTCTCTCCTGCCATCCTGGATCTATGGGTCAATGGTCTCTGGTTTACAAGCCTTGTTATCGCCCTTTCTGTCGCTCTCTTTGCAGTACTTGCAAAGCAATGGCTTCGTCAGTATATGTCCATTGTCACTGGCACACCCCAGGAGCAAGCATTTATCCGGCAATTCCGCCTTGATGGGCTCGAGAAATGGCGCGTTCAGTCACTCATTGGAATGCTCCCCACTCTCCTTCATCTAGCCCTGATACTATTCTTTGTTGGGCTCATCATCTTTCTCATCCCTCTAAGCACCATCATGGCATATATTGTTGGTGCTATCTCTGTGACTGTCGTTGTTCTTTACCTCATGGCCACTGTCCTTCCACTATTCACTGTTCAGTGTTCTTACAAAACAACCCTTACACATCTGCTTTACTCGCGCATTCTTTATACGCTCTTCTGGGGGCTATATGTTGTTATAATATCTGCCTACAACTGGATGTGGAAACGACCCATGGATCCAGAATTTCCAGATGTCCATATGTCTGACATTGGTAACACTTTGAAAGATGGGGAACGTTTTGTAGCTTGCCACCGCCAAAAATCAGGTTTTAGCTTCTCTTACATGGCTTGGACACTATACCTCCAACCCATCCGCAAAGAGTCTTCTTTTTCGGTCGCTTGGTGCATTTCCCCCCAAGCAATCAGAAAAGCTGTGGGAGGTAACAAATGATTTTTATGTGTTTTCACAAATCTTTGAACGTCTACGCACATCGACGAACCTGGATGAGGTGGAGGGCTGGTTTCGCGCAGGAATCCATTTCAAATCCATAGCTTGGAATAATCTAACAAACTTGCGCTTGTGCTATGAGGACAGTATCTCAGACCATGATTGTGATATCACTTCTGCCCTTTCAGCGTTGGCTTATGGGCTAAGTCCAGTGAAATTGGTTCATGCTGGACAAAGCATAGAGCTCACTGCTGAAAGTGCTATAAACTGGGTCCTTGAGACTTATATAAATGATCCATTTTTGGTCCTTCCAGTGCTTGTGTGGGAATCGCTTTCTCCAGGCATCTGAATATGGACAGCTCAGATTTTATGGGATATATGGAACGCCGTAGGATTCGCTCTGCTTCTCCTGTCCACATTCGCCATTTTTTAGAAACGGCGAAGAGAAAGCCGTATGATACACCGGTGGATAGCTAATGTCGTGTTGTCTTTCGAGTTACTCTTTAAACCCACACTCTCCTAGGCAACAAGGAAAGCCCGACGCCACCCCCACCCTCGCAGTCCCGCAAGGCTATAATTACTTTGTTGTACCGCACAACCGAGCCCGACGCGACTAAACTCCGAGCGCTCAGCGCTCTGTTCCAGCATCTGTGATGTACTTATGATCTGTTTCGATCTTTTAACTTTATCTTTCGAAATATACAGTCGTCAGATACGGTAGTCAGACGCGAAGACAGATCAACCCCGAAATGAATCACCGACTGGCTGTGCAGTCCTGGAACGTACTTGGTATGATCCTGCATGATCCACATTTCCTCATTCAGAAATGTGTTCATATGAATTTGAACGGTATATTCAACAGAGCTTCAATGAACGCGGTAAGATGAATATCCCGAGCAACTCGCAACTTCCGGTTATAAAGCAACTCTTTGAAGTTCCACGGTGTCAGCATCGCTGCGATTTTGAATTCCCCCCGTGGGAGGGAGGATTTACCGAGAAAGAAGGTAAAAGTTCACGATTCCCAAGTAGGTTATTGTGTACTTGGATCCTGATTTTTGCGTCGTCAATAGGAAGGGAGGTGACATGTAATGATGTATGACAGGATGTGGGAGGAGAAATTGGGAAGAACGGAACGGTGAGAGGTGGGGAGCGAAGAAGTATATTCAGATAACGAGGCCTAGACTATTATAATGCATGTGCAACCCAGAATTGAAGAAAAAGATAGAACAGACAGGAGGCTTGTTGGGGGCTTGATATATAAGTAGGTATCTACAGAACAGAAATAGACAGCACAGACTCACCATCGGGATCAACAGACCGCTATGACTTGTAGATTAAGACAGAAAATAAATAAGATGAGATGAGATATCATCAATGCGGCGAACATATGCACTAGTAGGCTCGATGAGGAACGGTTAACTGTATCCGCCCGGGTTCGGGTCCTTCGGGAATACGCACAGGCGACACTACTTACTTGTTGCAACTGGCTACAGGGGCTCTACAGGGCTAGTCGCCGTACCCGGGAGCAGTGAACAGTGAACCTCGCGGGAGAAGCATAATTAAACGACCCACGCTAGCACAACGCCCAGTGTCCGGTATGGTGAATGGATCGATATACTTACTGAATATGTATATACATACCCCACTCGATGAAATTTCAGAATGAATTTCCTGTGGCTGGAAATCGGAGTTGGGAGTCAGACGAGATCAGAGCTGTAAGAAAAAACCTTGAAACTTTGAAAACTGAGGTGATTTCGCTAGGATCCCAATACTTATATGCATTTGGCTATAATATGCATCGCCTATCAGCCTAACTATCACCGCGACTCGAGCTCTAAGAGGCTCTAAGTAGACTAAATTTTTTTTACGGAATCAGGACCTGGATCTGGCAGATAGAAATGAGCACTCTGAGGCACTGAGGGAAATGAGAACTAATCGGTTCATTCTATTGTATTTGAAACCGAGTGATGTGAGGTGATGTGAGCCATCAAATACATCAAACGCTTTGTGCTTTGCCTTTCTCTTTCCGTGGTGACGCGACTTGATTCTTTACACTCATGAACCCACGAAGAACGTGCTCTATCTATACAGCTGAATGAACCTTTTCCTTTGGTATATCAGTTTTTTTCTTTCTACTCATAATCTTATCATCTCTCAGACGAACCACAGATACCATACCACTCGACGTGCTCAAACCTCATCCAATACGCTCAGTCCTCAAGACAATACCGAACCGGCGTCACTCGGCTTTCCACGTTCTACTTCTCCTTCAAATGGCTTCACACAATTTTTGTCAAGACCATCCAAATGGTTCGGGCGAAGTGCCTCGAATCCTAGGATGACATCCACAGCAGGCTGGCTCTACCTCTGAACCTCGAGCAAGCAGTTCGTCAGGAAGAAAACACAAAATATCGCGTCCAACCGACCCTAGGCCGATCCTGGATTCGTATTCTACTGCGCCAGGAGCCAGGTGAGTCGTCAAAATTTAAATTTTTTTTCATTCATTCTGCTGATTTTTTTTCTGTAGATCAGTGATGGATCTTTCGTCTTCGCGCAATCCGAATTCTCTTGACCTTTCAAGAATACCCTTTAACAATGCTAGCCAGCCATCCAGTCCATCCAGTCCCTTTCGTCCTGGCGGTCTGGGTGACCTACGCGCAATCTCGAAACGGGCCTGGTCGAGATCTGCAGATGATCTCACGAACATGTCAACAGAAACTCTGCCTGCAATGGGAGAGAAAATTGCACAGTATCGAAACCGAAGCAATAGTAACGTGATGCGAAATAATGGGCCTCCATCTGCTCCGCCTACAGTCCCTCAGCCATTTCCTTCAATGCCCACAGTTTCGGTATCTACGTCTGCACCCATATGAACGAACGACCCCAAGTCCACACGTCCACACGCGTTCGCATTCATTCACTCCAAAGCTAGCGTCAAAACTATCCGCGCCATTGTTCCCAGTCAGTCCAAAACGTAAAGGTTCTGCAGGCTCCGAGTGGAAAACCTCCTGTCCCTTCCAGAGGCGCTTACCCGTTTAGTGCCAGTATTCCTTCTCCCACCACTCATCGTTCCACGACTTCTTCTAGCTCCGCCCAGCATTGTCGAACCCAGCGACGATCAACGTTCCTCTCAAATCGTCTACAACTCTGGTTTCATAAACAAATTCGCTGACGGCACTGCCAACCTACACCAAGCCAATCTTGGCCGTAAAAGCATGGAAACCGTTCAAACTCGAGCTCAAGGGCTCAAAA